TTTTCTGGAGCCAGATTCTTTTAGGGCAATGGGCAAAGGTGCTTCTGAATAAGATTAAAAGGTAAGCTAGGGCTTAACAACTAGACAAATTTTGACTATTGATATATGGCACTAAAAGAAACTTATAGAAATCTATACTTAACCCTATCCTACCTCCTGAACTTATTACCAGATTTAGGATAGTCTTATCCCAAACTTTAATTACACTGAGAAGTCTTCACTGGGACATCCCATTCAAAGGGATATAAGAAAATATTACCATCCCATTCCTTGATAGAGGTGGGAAGTCTACAAGTGGCTAACACAGCATGTGTTTTCAAACTTTTTTACATGCTGATAGGTTTTGCTAATTTTTTTCTCTTCTTCTTTAAAAAAAAGAATAAGTTGGCTCTTTGGGAGCTAGAGGAAAAGGGATGCTAGAATAAATGTTTATAATGTATAACAAGATATCAGTAAAAATTGGGTTTTTTAAAGTCATATTCTAATGAAGAGTCAATCATTCTTGTTTATGTGCATCTAGGGTGTTCCAAAAGTTTTAGTGCAGCTTTAATAAATTAAAAGCTGTAATAAGCCTTTTAGACAACCAGAATATGTACAGGCATACATTGTGTGTGTGCTTGTATGTATGTGTGTGTGCCCATACATGTACAAAAGTAACTGCAAGACAACTTCAGATGGAAAGGTACTAGCAGTTGGGTGTGGAGGTTTTAAGCAGGGTGGACCAAGAAAGACTTTAAAGAGGTAACATTTGATCACAATGTTGAAGAAAGTCAGGGATTCTAAGAGGTGGAAGTCTGGAGTAAGAACATTCCAGGCTTGAGGGATGGCCAAAGAATAGGCATAGAAATGAGAGATGTAATGTCATATGTGAGAGAAAGAGAAAACAATTCAGCTAGACCGAAGAGTACAGGCAGGAGAATGACTTAAAATCATTTGGGAACGATGTATTGGAGCAAGGATAAGAAGGGCTTTAAAAGTCAAACCTAAAAGTTTGTATTTTTTTCTAAAAATGTAGAAGCACATTAAAAGGTTTTGTTTCTGCTTTTTTTTTCTATAAATATTAACCCTTTTCAGAATTGTCCCCTTAGAAAGGAGTATGGTAGGTAGAGGACAAAATACCTTTCTTATGAAAACTGGTGAAAACCAAACTCAGGAAAAATTAATTCTTTCCCCGTTTGATTATTGCCCTTCCACATACTCCAAAGTAATTGATCTGTGACCCATCAAAGGAAATTACCTCTTTTCAGTTCAGAATGGATTGAGATATTGGTCCAAAGAGAGGAGATCTCTCCTTGAAGGAAGTCATCCTAGAAGAAACTGAAGAGTTCTAATTGAAGATTAAATAACTACTGTTAGTGCCATTTGTTCTATAAGCCTGAAACTATATTTTAACATATTATGAGTTTTTTAAAGCTTCCTATAAATGTTACTGAAAACTCTTTTGGAGTACAGACATGTAAGAAAACATGGAAGGACTATACTATTTTGGACATCTCTTTAAATGTGTTTGGATTTGAAAATAATGTTAAATACATTATAAAAGTATTTCTGAAGGATTTATGCCTGAATTGCAGGGTACAGTTTATTATATTTTTCCATCAATAGAGGCAATAAGAAGCTATTGTAAAGCTTAGTGAGTACAAAAGTGTCAAGGTCAGGCCTACACTTAAGGAAAAACAATTCTGAAGCTCTGTGAAATAGGAATCAGAGTAGGAAGCGATCTATGGCAGAAGGACAAGTGAAGAGTCTATTGAAGAAATCTGTGCAGAAGGTAAGACCTGGATAGTATGCAGAGTATTAGTAGGAATAGTTACAACATTTTTATGTTTTAACATAGTTATAAGTGGATTTTTGACATTCTGGATTCATGACTGTCATGCTACCTTGAATGACATCTGTATTACATATCTTTTCTTGATCTTCTAATATCACAGAAGATTGGCAGAATCAATTGTAACATGGCAGATACGTGTTGCCATAGAGGATAGTGTCCCAGAATTAGTCAGATCTGAGTTGAAATCTAATAGCTATGTTACTGTGGCCAAGACACCCAACCTTAATCAATCTCAATTTCTTCATCTGTAAAAAGGGGATAATAATAGCACCTATCTCACAGGGTTGTTTTAAGGATCAAATGAAATAACTGTACATAAGCGGGTATATAAATGCCAACTTAAAGTCTTAAAGGTGAACAAGGACAAGGAAAAAAAGAGATCCTTATGTATGTACTTAAGGGTTTTTTGCTGTAATTAAATTTTCCCAGAATGTCACCCATGCAGAAAAATGAGAGACTTGACAAAGGCAAACTTCAAAATTGATCAGTGCTTACCAGGAACATTGTCATGAGTGACTGATGAAGACCCATTTTATTTATACTCAATCTCTTCTCATGTGTGTTTATGCAGCTGCTGCCTCAATAAGGGTCTTATTCACCCAAATAGATCTACTCTTTTTTGTAATGGTTCTTTGAGGCAAAGTGTGGGTATTTGGAGACTGAACATCCAAAAAAACCAAACCAAACAAAACAAAACAAAGCTAATGACAGTCTCGTTAAGAGTATTCAATATAGCTGCAGCTGGATGTTCACTCACTTCTGGTTTTAGACCACTGCCTCTATTCAATTGTACCTTGATTAAGCTGATTTGAAAATCATTCTGATGCATGCAGGGGACTGAACAGGCATCTTTTCAAAAAATCAACATTCTTGGATTGTTCTAATTCAATGCAAATGAAGAGCTCCCAAGATGGAATTTTTGTTGTTGTTGTTGTTGTTGTTGTTGTTTTATTTTAGCCACCAGAGGGCACTGGAGAAGATCAAGATTCAAAATACTCTTACATTGACCTTTTTTTTTTTACACAAATACTGTTTTAATAAAAAAGAAAATGTCAGCTATATAAATTAAATGACTGGCAAAGGACCTTAGCAGTCCCTGACAAAGTAGGTGCTTAATAAACGTGTACTGATTGAGTGAATGATACTTCTTTTATGCAATCTTTAATTGAGCTTTTCTTTATTAATTTGTTCATAGAGAGAAGGAAGAACTCTGGTGTTTTTATTCCCTGTCATCATGCAGATACCCTGGGATATTCCCCAAAAATTGTTACTGTAAATTACAAATTTTCATTATTATAATAAATCTGGATTTTTATGTAATGATCTAAATCCCTATGTATTCTATAGAAATATTTTTGTTATAGTAATAATGTTAGGATGAAATACATTTGTTAATAATTTAAAAGTTTTAGATCTACTAGGTCTTATCATTTGGCTTATTAGTACACTCTCCAATGTACAAGCCATGTACCCTGAGCTCCTTTGGGCTTTGTTAGCCTCCTTGTAGCTAACTACTGTGGAGCCTTCTTTTCACCTTGTGGCTGAACCCTGCTATAAATGTTGTCAACCTTACTTAGAAAGTGAAATCCTTGAGAGCACAGGGATGATCTGGCTTTTCTGTTTGCATTTCCAGGACCTGACACAATGCCTAGCACTCAGCAGGCTCATAATTAATATTTTTTTTCTTTCACTTATCCATTTATTCATTCAAGCAATTAAAAAAGCCACATCTTAGATCCCTTCATGGAAAAGAAAAATTCTGGAATATTTAGGCTTTAAAAAATTTGTACATCTATATAGTTGGCCTATAGTATATTCTTAACATAAACTTTTTATCCATAAAAATATTAAGGCATTCAACCTTTTGTTGAAAAAAGATGATATATGATTATTATTCTGTTCTTTTAAACATATTGAACAACAAAACTTAAAATGTTTAACATTACAATTTGCCTTCCAGATTTTAGATCTGTGAGAAGAGTTACAACAATCACTTTTCATTTTAGACTCATCCATTAGCATTTTGAGCCCTAACAATATATGTGCATATTATATGGAAGTTAAATCTAAAAAGTGTCATGAAAAAAATGTCTTCCTTTAAACCAATACTATATTAAAGCATAAAGCTGCTGTTAAAAGAAAATACCTTACCTGAGTGAGATAATACATAACCCAGATTAGTTGATAATTTTAGATAGCTGCCTGCAGAGAGCAGAGTTTCTAGGCACAGAGAGCTAAATTGGGATGGTTGTAGGAAGTTAGGAAAAGTCAGAAGCCTAACTTCTCCCCTCCTCCTCATACTTTGAAAAGACAGGCTCAGGTGTATATGAGGGGAAGAAGATAGTATCAGGCAATAGTTACCAGGAAAAGATGGCAACTTGAAAAGAAAAAGTGATAGGAATGGGAGACATTTTCTTTATCACCCACCCTTATGGTATCACAAGGGCTAGCTCATTCATATTGACTAGCATAATCCATCTTTCTAAGAGTTTCAGTTTGTAGAAGAGGAACTGTCATCTATATTAATACTCAAGTGTAAAAATGTATAAAAAAATTCATAAAATCATAGCCCCAGAGCAGGGCCTTGTAGACAACATAATCTAACTGCTCTATTATACAAAAGAAGTTACCTAAGTGATACACATTAAATATGGGGTTTGAACTCAGGCCCTCTGGCTCCAGAGACAGTACTCTCTCTACTGCATCATACTACCTTATCTGAGAGAAGAGTCCTGGATCCCTAACCATGAAATTGCTGTGATGGTTAATTAGCATCTAATACCTGCAGCCTCAAGACCACATGTGGCCCTCTAGGTTCTCAAGTGCGGCCCTTTGACTAAATCCAAACTTCACAGATCAAATCCCCTTAATAAAAGGATTTATTCTGTAAAACTTGGACTCAGTCAAAAGGCTGCACCCAAGGACCTAGAAGGCCACATATGGCCTCAAGGTCACAAGTTCCCCACCTCCGGAATATTGGGCAAATCTTCTCTGATTAATAAGTGATTCAACTTGAACAGCTCTAATGCCCACATCAGCCCTGAGATTATATGGTTTGAAGGAAAGAAGGAGACTATGGTTATAATTAGGAAAGCTACCTGTTGGCTTTTGAATACAGCCTGTCACAACATGGCAGAACTCAGTATTTCTTTCTTCCATTTCACAGGTTTTCTTACACAGATGAATACCTCAGATCACTCTGTACTTCAGGCTTCATTCCAAGGGTGTATGCAGCTTATCCAAGTGGATGATCAGCTGGTCAATTTACATGAAATAGAACAAAGAAAGCCTGGTAGCTTCGCTAATGTCAGTATTGACATGTGTGCCATTATAGACAGGTAAGTGATTATTTTTATTCACAGTTTGAGCTGTTTAAACATGCCAACTTCTTTTTTACAAGTGAGATACAATATGTGAAATGTCACAAAAGCTGTTAAGCTGTTGTTAAATAAGAATAGTGGTTTAGTGAATACAGTAATAACTTTAACTTATTCTATAGAATTTGTAACCAAATGAATGAAATTTTATTTTATGTCAATACACCAATTATTTTATACCAACATTCACTAACACATAGAGCTTATAAGATGTTTTTTGTAACTCAGATTCCTATCAGAATCTGACAGTAGGTTTGAGGAATTGTCAAGGGTTTTTGTTTGTTTGTTTTGGTTTTGGTTCCCCCCACTCCAGCAAATTTTAGTTTTCATAAAAGAGAAATGAGCAGCACCTTACCTCCCACAATTCTTTTCCTCTTGGTACTAGCAAGCAGTGATTACCCTTCAAAGACCTTATTTTTCCCATATCAATTATCATCTCTTCCTCAGCCTTAGCCTGTTGACATCTCTCCAGGGTCTGCAGGAAAGTGAAAGAAAACACAAACACATACACTCTCACAGACTCTTTCTGTCTCTTTCTGTCTGTCTGTCTCTCTCCCCTCTCTTCCCTATCCCCTCTCCCTCTCTCCCCTCTCTTTTTCACACACACACACACACACACACACACACACACACACACACACACGTAAATGATACCCTAGTTAGTATACAAAATATATATCCTAGTATACAAAATTGACTCAGCTTATGAGTCATATATCATCTAATAGGGTTCTTATCTGTGGAATGATGCAATTTTTTCATTGAATGGTGATGAGTTGTCTCCTTTATGTTTTTTTCAAAAATCATAATTATAAGATATCCTCACCCATAACATTTTGGTCCACAAAATAGGAATTTGCCTAACCATCACTAGAAACTAAAATGATATCCTTGCTTGATTTTCCAATCAGTTCTTAAAATATCCATTGGAAGTTTCATAGCCTCTAAGAGACCTTTTTTTTTAATTTCATATTTTAACCTTTTTAAATTTCATTTCATTTTTGACATGCTTATTTTGTTTTTCTCAACAAAAATGTGTCACTAACAGTTTTGTTTCACTTAGAAGTATATTTTTTATTCATTAAATGTGATATTTAGAAGTATCCTAAGGGGTCTATGACATCAGCTTGGTACTCTTTGCAATCTTGCAAGTTCACTCAACAGTGATTTCTTATCCTTTGGGGTTCTTATCCATGCTCTTCCATAAATCTTCCTCAGAGTATTGACTCAACATTCTGGAGATCTTTTTGTAAATGCCTTAGAATATTCCATAGTTACAACTGTAACACTCAGACTGTTGATGTTATGCATCACTTTTGCTAAGTGACCATCCTTCTTTCACGCATGTCATAGCTGATGTCTTTTATGCTACTGTGTGAGTCATTTTTAGTAATGTGCTTCAATTTACCTACACTCATCATGTATCTGTCCATTGTCCAACTGCAGTTTCAGTTTTAGAGGGATTATCATGTTCCCCTTTTTCCATCTATGTAGCATCACTGGGAGTCCTACAATCCCTGTGACTTCTCAGCCCCAAATCCCTAGCCACCAATCCCCATGTGATGAGTTATGGAAAGTAATCTCCTTGAATACAGGAGTGTTTGTCCTATGTATTTGTAACCCCAATGCTTGGTGCATAGCCTAGTCCATACGAAGCACTGAACAAATATCTTTTCATTGATTCATTCACTCACTCACTGGAAGAATACTAATTATCAAAAGATAGGTTTTGGCATGAGAGAGAGGTCTGGTACCATTAGAATTACTGAATGGCAATGTGCTCTAGCCTTTTCTCCTTGGCATTTTTGGACCCAAGTTACCCATCTAAATTGTCCTTTTTAAATAACATTATCTCATTTATATATGTCACGTAGTCTCATATGATCTTATAATATACATGTGAAGCAACTTATTGGAAAAGAGACTTTTAGACTGTTTTACCCACTTGTATTAAATGCTTTGAAAAGATAATTAGTGACACAGAAACCATTCTCTCTGTAGCTCTTTGAACATTTGAGTGTGAAGATTTGATTGACTGTAGAAGAATGTGCATTAAATGCCAGCTGTTTTATCCTTCTATTTTTACAAAAAGTATTCTATGTGTCCAATGTTCTCAAAGATTTCATAAAGTAAACATTTGGATTGTTAGGTATTGAAAACTTCTTGATCACCTTTTGGGGGTATTTAATATTAATTGAGTCTTCATCCTTTTGAGATCTTAATCTCTTTGACATAATGTGAAAACTAATTGTTGAGTATCATTCTAACTGGGTTGCTGCTTATACATTTTCTTTGTACACATTTTGTCATTTCCAGACTTATTTTCTGATTTTATTTCTTGACTCCCACTTCCACTTCCTTGTGTAAAGCATAGGCCACTCTGAAGGGTTAGATACCAAGTATGTTGGTTCTATTGTTTTGGGGGTTTGTTGGGGTTTTTTTGGCTAGGCAATGGTGTTAAGTGACTTACCTAGGGTCACACAGCTAATAAATGTTACGTGTCTGGGGCCAGATTTGAACTCAGGTCTTCCTAAATGCAGGGCTGGTGCTCTATTCACTGTGCCACCTAGCTGCCCCAATATGTTAGAACAGGGGTTCTTTTTTGTTTGTTTGTTTTGTTTTTGTTTTTGTTAGGCAATGGGGTTAAGTGACTTGCCCAGGGTCACACAGCTAATAAATGTTACGTGTCTGGGGCCAGATTTGAACTCAGGTCTTCCTAAATGCAGGGCTGGTGCTCTATCCACTGTGCCACCTAGCTGCCCCAATATGTTAGAACAGGGGTTCTTTTTTGTTTGTTTGTTTTGTTTTTGTTAGGCAATGGGGTTAAGTGACTTGCCCAGGGTCACACAGCTATTAAGTGTTATGTGGGTTCTATTGTTATTTATGGTGAGAATATACATAAAAATTTCAGTAAACTATCCTGGGATACATCTAGATTTTACCTAAAATATAAAACATGTACATGAAAGTATATGTGTATGATTGTATTCATTCATATACTCTTAATAAAATAATCTTTTCAAGTTTAAAAAAATTGACAAAATAGTTTCCCCAAATCCAGCATATTTCTTGGTTTATCACATTTTAAATATATGCAGGACATATGTGTGCACACTGATTATATTGGTTAGGATTTTCTCTGCATGTCCACATATGTCATGTCATTAATCGAACTGGGTTAGCAGTTAGAATATAAAATGGACAGCAAACAGTTTTGGCCAGAAAAATTTGTGTGTTGATTTTGCAAAACACACACAAAAAAATCCAACCTTGTATCTGGCATTACTTTTGCCAAAAAAAAAAACCCAGTCATAACCAGATAAACCAGGAGCTGAAAGATTAAAGTTATTTGTTCCCATACTAGCTAGCTTATCTGCATTTTATATTAGCAACCCATTCAAAAAGGTTTTCCTCCCTAGTAATACATATATTGTAAGCTGTAAAATTTTAGTGCCTGGTTCATTTTCCATTTCAGTGACTTTAGTGGTAGGACAAATTCTGCCAATGCTGCTAAATTTAATTCACTCAATTTTTGTGAACTGTATAGATTTGACAGTGTTTCACTATATGAAGTTTTGCATGTATTATATTTCTATCATTTGCTAATAAAAAATTAAAATATTAAGGTACTAATTTTAATATATAACATTTAATTTTAAAATGTATATTATATAGAATCTCATTCTAAACACATATATAGATATTTACATAAAGATTAAACAGGCTGAGAAGTATGCAGGAGTAAAGAACATTGAACAAATATATAAATCATGGTTCTACTTGCACTTCTATTGCCAAGGTTAATCATTTCTTAATTTTAATTAGCTGTTTTACTTTGAATAAAGCCACCAAGGTCTATAAGGAAATGATAATGCATTTAAATTTTTATATTACTGGTAGGGGATTCTAATCAGTAGGAAAATGGATTAATTTCATATTAATATTTATTGACATTCAAAAGGTGAACCACTAAAAAAAAACAAGCAAAGAAATTAGTGTCACTATATTTTCTGGAGTTGAACCTAAATAAATTTAAATATTTCACAAAGATTGACTTTAGTTGTTTAAATTGAATTAAAGAACTATTCCATCTTGGGGCCACAGGAGGAAGTATATAGATGATCTCATTTAAAAAGAATGGATCTACATTAGTTGTTGAACATGATGAAACACTGGAGAAAAAAGTAATTTCTTTCTTCTGATAAATGAAATGCTACTCAATTCATGTCATGTAGATAAACAGCCTGGTAGAACTTGAGTGTAATAGGAATGCAATGAAACACAATACATTTACAGGACGTTACATGCAAAGCACATCAAAGGATCTTAAGAGGGCTTAGTGCTTTGGAAGATATTTACTTGTGCCTGAGTGTAAACATACACAGTGCACAGTCTCATAACTTCTGAGCTTTATAGACTTTCCTACCCATAAGACAGTGAAAGTAATGGTATAAAGGAAACTTCGCTCTTCCCCAGCCCCTACACCTCCAACTTCAAGTATCCTTTTATTCAAATGTAAGCAGTATAGGATGTAGAAAGACTAAAGAATCAGATGTTGGAAGAAACCTGATTTTAAATCCTACTTTTGATATTGATTATCTGTGAGACCATTGGCAAGTCATTTAATGTCTCTGAGGAAAGTGGAGGAAACCAGTTGAAGCAGAACTGACTCTACAATTAGAGGAAATGAGTTCCCATTTGTTTATCTCTGTGATCTGGATGAGACAAAAACTCTCTTAACCTCAATTTCCTCATCTATAAAATGAGAAAGTTTGACTAGATACCTTCCAACTTGATCTGTAGTGTCATGATGTTTTCCTCATCTGTAAAATGGGAATCATGATGTGTTTCAGATGGTTATTTTGAGGATAAAATGGATTTCAATGGAGTTGTAACATATGTGCATTTAACTTATGAAAGAAGAAAAAATAATTTAAATAGAACTAATAGTTTTTTCAGCC